GGCGTTACTTTAATGTAAATGTTTTCAATTTTTCCAGTATCCTTGTTCTGAATGGTACCAGTGTAAAATTCACTTAAAAACCCATCACCGTTCAGGGCTTCTAAATTTGGGGTAATATCACAGTTTTTAATTCCTTCAACTTCAGCTTCTCGCTTCAAAATTTTTTCTACTGTTTCGCGCACATCCATGGTTTATATCACAAGGAAACTCTACCTACTCCAAAATTATTTAAATTCAGTATTATTTATAGGCCGATAAGAATAAGATTTTTGTTGCGTAACATTGCATGATTTCGAGAATCGCTCTGAATGACAATCTTAAATTTAAAATAGTTTAATAAATGACCTAATTTACTATTCGTTGTAGATTTGTGAGAACAGATGCAGCAATAATTCGTCCGTCTATGGGTATGGTTTAAATTTCATGTATCTTTTCAGTTGCATTTGTGCATTTGTTACGTTTGTATTTGCAGTTTGCAGCAAATTTATTTTACATTAGACACACACGCATTGTTTAAAATGCCACAAACCTAGAAATATCATGCTTCTACAAGGTATGCTATATTAGACAACGATCAGACGTAAGTTCAACGACACACACTTTATTATAAAGTCTTAAGACACGTAGGGTTGTTTTATTTTGTTTTTCTTTGATCTAAAGACTAATCCGAGACCTATTGTTCAGTAAAATATGTTTTTGCATTTTTAATTCCCCAACAGAAGCCATGTGAAACAGGAACAAAATAACAAAAAACCTTGTAGATAGTGCATCTGCAAAATATTTTCGATTGCACTCAAAAATTGATATTTGGCACTTGTGTTCATTAATTCAATGATAACTGATTACTTGGCATCTTATGTGGTAAGTGTTTTAATATTTTGCGCGAAATTGTGCAACGAGGTGCAAATACTGCGTCACTAATTCGACTATTTCTATGCAATCAAATGTAATCAATATTCCTAGGTTTTTCGTACAATTTTCGATTGGTTAAAGTTATTTTGGACTAGCATTTACCTGATGATGATTGACTGCTCTTAGACTTTTATAGTGATTTTTAGAAGATATGAAAACCCGTAATAGGGCCTCTTGTAATTATGGACCCTTAACCATGATCCGGCATCTATAATCTGGCTCAATTTAGGAATTATAAATACTTTAGGTCTTGTTGATATGATGTCATATACGCAGAACCAATGCCATAAATCTCGAACCAGTAATTAATAAACAAAACCAAATTGGCGGCCATCAATCACCGGTATAATGTATTCCAGGAAGGTAAAATTCCTAAAATAAAGTAACCTGCAAAAACACCCCCAGCCATGATGCCGGGAATGATGACTGAAGCATATTCAAGCAATACAAGCAATACTCAACGATTATATTTAGCTTATTATAATTTTTCTCTCTGTATGTGACAGACCAATAGATCAACTTGTTCTTGGCGAATTTTATAATTTTTTTAAATCTATTTTTTTTAACTAATCTAAAATTTTAAATCTACTTTTTTTTTAATCTAATTTTTTTTAAATATATGAGGTCTTGAAATCAGTACTATTCCGGATTCCTTGAGAGGGGAAAAGATTTTTAAAATTCTTATATATAGAGAGCACAGATAGAACTATGTCACCTCCGTAATCTACGTATATTCCGTATACTATGTCGTCTTTGTGACCTCCGACAATGTTGCCATCAGCACGGAGGTCAGATGGTACGAAGGAGTGATTTTTATATATATATATCCATATAGTTCGCATCATGTTGCAAGTTAAGTAGTTCTGGAGCCCGAAAATGCATTTTGGCCAACACCAATTATGAGACCCTGATGAAAAAAATAAAGCGAAATCTTTCTCTAAAGCATTGACTTCTGTAACTGTCCATCCTAAAATTAAGGTTTTTTTCATCTATTAATTTTTAGCATTTTTCATACCATATTTTGTTGTAACTGCAGAATTTTTTGACTTTTTGCCTTCAGTTTTAGAGCAGGACCACTAAGATTGCGATCACATTCTTCATCGGAATCAAACCCTACAAATTTACGAAATGGAAATAACAACTATGTTTTTATTATTTTTTTTATGAGATACCAACCCACTTGTGTAATCTACCCCATGGGTTTTCGTTTTTTAGCTGTTTTTTTCTTCGAATTGACAGGAATACAATGGTTGTCACTTTCAAAGTGACAAAACGATTTGAAAGTTAAACTAATTAAGCGATAAATGGAGGATAGAACTCCTAATGGTATAAAAATATACTTACAATTGTGACCTTTCCGTCTCCTAGAGCCGCTATTGGAGGACCCTGCCGACAAAAATATTTCTTCAGAAGTAACATGCCATTTCATTTAGTTATTCAGAACTAATGAACCATCATCAGCAGCTGAAAAAGACAACTAATTTTTTGATCTTTTTGATCAATTGGGAGCCTGCCAAATTTTCAGAAATTTTGCATTGATTTATTGTCAGCCCTGTAGAAACTTTATCTGAACGCCTGAATTTTGCAAAAACACGGAAGGCGAGAAAAATGATTGGGCTAGACATTACTTCAAACAGACATTCATTTGCTCGCACAGATCAGAACGTATACTGCCAAAGTAGGAAAAATTAGCCCGTTTAACGCTTATTTTGTTCCACAATTTATAAATGAATTAGCTTGAGGTGCAATAATCAAGCATTAAATATAAAAAAAATAAATAACGTAGGACTTGTACTTACCGCTCAGCATTAACAACAGCTTAGTTCTGGATGACATGTTATATAAATGCACTAGTACAACACGGGTGTCTTTCACGAGTTTTTAATAAGATATAAAAAATATTCTTTCTTTCAATTTCAACAGTTTCTGTCTTTCCCATCTATTGACGGGATCCCGAAAAATCAGTCATTATAGCATTTGGGATGTTGACGCGATTCCGCGGAGGCGGCAAATGATCATATGGGTCACAAAAGCTGTATATCCGGAAGCTACAGCGTGCATCCTACATAAGTTTTGGGCGTCACCCGTTGGTATATACGTAATCGAGACTATGATGATTCTGGACCAAATATCGTTTTATTCATATTTGAAATGTGAATTTATCGAAAAATTACAGGGGCCGTTGCGCAGTTTGAAATGATAACAAATTGATAATGGAATTCTTTACCTAAAATATTTGACAAGTCTTTTTCCTGTGGAATAAGACATCAAATGCCATCCTGCCATTTCGAAGTTATTCAAATCATTTTTGTTATTCATACTGAAAAAATTTCAAACAATTTTCAAGACCGAGAGTTCAACATGAAGATATAATGCTACGGATTGTTAATTAAACGTCGTTTTAATAAAATGTTAAATGTGTTAAATAATTTCACCAACATTTTATTTGTGCATCGAAATAAACTGATAATTTGGCATTCGAACTTGTTGTCTTATAGAGGCTTAATTTTTTAATTCTCATATAGAAACGGAAAATCCTTCCTCCTTTTGTAAAATTATGGACAACTTTAAAGCACTTATGCGACTGCCCCGACAATTACACTCAGTCCTAAAATATTTTATTTAACACAACATAGAAAACAAACTAATGAGAATCTGAAATAAAAGAGTCACTTCTTAATGTACACTTAGATATAAAGCTGCAAAAAATCGCATAGCTGCTAATCCTTATTCGCATGTTTCAGTAAATGATACAATTTAGATATTAATATTACAATAGTTTGCTTCATTTTGTTCTTCTCTATGAAACAACTTATTTGATGGCCTAATTCAATAGGAAATACCTCATGTTTGAAATCAGTTAAAAATGAACTTCCTCTATGTATTACCTCCTACCATATTTAATATTCAGACAATGTTTTGAAAGGAATAAAGATAGGAAAACTTGAAATTAGTTAAATTCGGATTGGTTCGTATTTTACTGAAGATAGCGCGCTAGCTGACTAATAACATGAAGTAACGCTAGATCAGAAATAAAGTTGACATACCCAACTGGTCCGTCTTCGCATGAACAGAAAAATACGAAAATATTCTTCGTATTACACTTAAACCAGAATTTATGTGGATTTACTCAATCCAAAATGAAAATCGACATTAAAGCATTCAGTTTCCTAAAGGACGTAAATTGGCATTAAATCCGAAGTACCGGTAACTCGGAGTGAAGTCGGACTGTGGGGGAAATTTGACTATGGTGAAAACTGATATTTTTTTATTACCCTGTAACATAGTGGAAAACTTCAAAAATAAGTTTGAGATACCTATGTGATCTATCCGTGCCTTCGATGTTGAAATCCAAAATTACTTTTGTTTCCTCAATTGAGAGCATACACTGATGTACCTCGAAGTACTGATGTTTTGTAAAAAGACGTAGTGAGGGAAACAGAATTTTGTCAGACAACGTTTCAAACAGAAATTAATTCGCTCGCAGCAATAATAATTTCTCCGGTTCCAAAGTTATTGAAAACTTTACAGTGTAACGATTATTTTGTTGATCAGTTTATAAATGAATTATTTTGAGGTGCGAAAATCATGCACTACCAAAAAAAAATGTATATATCATTCACAAGTAGGATAGTTCTGGGATACCGCTCAGTTTTAATTAACAATTAAAACAGATTAGTTGTGGATTACATAGTAAAAAATGCAATATTTAAACATGTATGCACAAGTTATTATTGAAGTATAAAAATCTTCGTTCATATGATTTGAACATTTTATTTGCTTCCCATTTATACATGGCAAATCCAGTAATCAAGCATTATCTCCTTTGCGTTGTTGCCATTCCGCGGAGGCGCCAAAGAGTCGTATGTATCACAAAAACTGTGTATATATTTCCGGAGGCCACAACGTGCCCCCTTCATAAATTTTGTGCGCCACCAGTGGCCGTGGTATAAACGCCAGCTAATTCGTTTTTTGGATGATACGGAGGCTACCATGTTACCTCCGATCGAAATTTCGTATTATGAGCTCTTATTGATACCTGACCCCAGATTCGATGAAAAAACGGAAAAACGCTGTCGCCTCCGAAATTGGAGGCCACAACGTTTTATATGAAGCCACAACGTCTCTTCGGTATCTATTTTGGAGACCGCAACGTACCCTTTATATATATATATA